TTTGGGGTAAAACTCTGTTCATATTATTTCCCCAATTAGCATAATAATTCATAATTTTTTGGTTCTAATCACATTTCAATTAAACTTGGTACATAGAGTTTTTGTTACATTGCGCAGACCTCATTAGTTTTACAATCAAATCTGTTCATGTTAATTTTCTGATTTGCATAATTAGTTTTCAGCTAAGTAATTTCAAATTATATTTAATGTGTCTCCAATACTCTCAGCACATGGGAGTTCTTTCTAAGCTTTCTTTGATTTATATTTTGATGGGATAATTTTAGATCAAATGAAAATAACTTTCCATTGGCTACAAGTCAAAATTTTGGAAAAATGATGAGGCAAAAGTTTATTTTCGTCCTCAGCGTATTGAATAGAGAGATAAAAATGTGAAGCTGTTCTAAGTTTGGAGGGGTATCATATATCATGATAGATTTGGTACTTCTTGTTATCCTGAATTTTTTCAATAATCTTGGTTTTAAAAAAAGACAAAAATTTTGTTCAAAAAATAGCAAGCATTTGTTTAATTGCAATATTGTGAATGTAGCAGTGATGGGATATTGTTATTATAAGTTATGGTGAATAGAATTCAAACACAAAAATCTTTGCAAGCTGAAAATATTTTCTGTAATTTCCGAATATTCACATCATCAAATATTTTCATAATAGTCATAAATAATAAACTTTAACATTACACTTATATATAATTGAGGCATTTACATTATAATTAATATAAACCTAATTATTTATAAATTTCAATGAAAGCTATATATTGTATAAACATGTACAGTGTTGTCTGTTTTAACACATTCTATATTTATGCATGAGGACTTTGTGGAATGTCGTTGTTTACCAACTGAGCCAATCCAAATGTTTTGATTTAAATGAAGCTGATTTCAAATGAAAACAGTTGGGTTTATGAACTTTCAAACGTGTCTTTGTTGACTGCATTGTAAATCGGTGAGCAAATAAAGAGCTCTAAAACATTTACGATGCCCCTTGTTCGGATGATAGTTTGATTTTAAATTACAAGTCTATG